AGCGGGTTCACCACCTTGCCCAGCACGCCCGCGCCCACGGGGATGTGCAGCAGCTGCCCCGTCGCCATCACCTTCTGCCCAGACTGCACCTCCGTGATGTTGTCCATCAAAATAATGCCGATGCGGCCGTCCTTCTCCAGGTTGAACACCAGGCCCGCGGCGAACGTCGTCGGGTTCACCTGGATCTGGATGATGGTGTTGTAGGCCACTCCCGGGTTGCCGGGCGCCGGTATGAGCGTGGCGATGGTGCCGTCGATGGAGTGCACGTAGCCAATCATCTCCGTCGCCTTGAAGAACGACTTCTGCCCCGCGGCAGCTGAAGCGGCGGCGGCGGCGGCGGCGGCTGGGGCCTTCGCGCCTCCCGCCGGGGGGGCCGTGGAGGCGAGGCGGGCCGGCAAAGCCGCGGCAAACTTGGAAACAAAACGGCGCATTCCTACCTACTTTGTGGAAGTATTCTAGAACTGAGGTGGGGGGGGGGAAAGAAAAGAAAGGAGAGAAGCTCTCATTTAGATGAATGGAGTATATATGTGTGTATAAACATATATGGGTTGCTGTCTGCTGGGCTTTATTGTCGGCACAATAGGCTGCTGAAGAACCTCTCAGTGAGCTGGAGAGATAAGGGAGTTTCCCAAGTGGAATATTCAGGAAGTTATATATATGTGCTACTTTTGGCCAATGGTTTTCCAATGGTAAAGACGTACATCCGTCTTTTTTTTTATGTTTGTTTATCGCCTTCATATGTTGTGGGCATCGCCACCACATTTTCTTCTTCTGCGTCTTTTTTTTTTTTTGGATTTTTGTTGTTGTTGGCGCTTCCGTGCGGGCCCGTGTCTTCCTACAGGTCCCGAAGCATCATGCCACGCTTGTGGTTGGGTTGCCAGTTCCTGTTGATTTCCTCGACGAAGACAGACGTGGGCTCTAGCGACGGAAACACGGAGCGTCGCCCGAGGATGACGCAGATGAGGAAAAGAAACAAACACTTTGTTAAGGCGCGGGAGAAGAGTACGACATCCTTGACGCCCAAGTTGACCACCGATAGTGTTCCCCCGGCTATGTAGCTCAGCTCGCTGTAAAGCCGCGCCTTGCGGTAGGGCAGCAGCGCCTTCTGGTAGGACCAGTACTCGCGCCAGACGCTGGCGCAGAGGTCCTCGCCCGACTTGTTGTGGTGCTGAATGTGCCGCTTCAGCGGTTCATCCATGCGCTCGATGCGTCTGTCCATCGAGGCTACAAGCGCGACAAAGGGCCTCGCCAGGGCCCTTCTCAGCCCCATTGCACCGTCTTACGCTCCCTACAAACTACTCTACAAGGTGAGGCAGGGAGTTTGAAGTGGAGTGCACAGCGTGGACGACAGCAGGACGCCACAACGCCTTTTGTTAATTATTTTCATTTTATTTTTTCAGTGGCAGTTGCTTTATTTCCCTCGCGGCGGCGTTGGAGGCAGACACATCACATCCCGCTTCTCCCCGCGGCAGTCGCCGGGGCCGTGGTGGGTGGGCACAGTCACGCAGGCACGGCGCAGAGGAGCGAGAGGAGAAAAGAACGCACCAGTAGACATGAAGGAGAGGCCAACGGCGGCATAAGCTGCAGTTGCATTAAGCCGCGGTGGCAGACAAACCCCACCAGGCAGTCGTCGCTCCACGGCACTCCCCCAACTCGTACGATAGAAGTAGAGATGTGCTTCGCCCGCAGCGTTCGCCAATCACCCGCCCAAAATTAAAACAGTAACAAAAAAAAAAAAGGTATCGTGCCTGCTCACAGCACCTCTACGGACCGCACACTTCAACCGGCACCGTGCCGCACGTCCCTCCCCGCCAAGTAAAGTCATGGAAGAGAGACCCGCGCCCCCTGCAAGGCGCAGGCAGTGCCGAAGGCATACGCGAAGCGTACGCCCCAGACGTACGCCCCGCATCACAAACGCTGTACAGCAGCGCCTGTAGCTTTCGTCGCCGAGAACAGAGCGGAAGTAAATAAATGAATACATAAGACCTGTGAAACAATAAATCAATAAACTGCAATACTACTACTACTACTACTACTACTACTACCAATAATAATAATAATAGTGAGGGGGTTGCCTATCAAAACTCACCGTCGTTGGGGCGGCTTGCGCTTGCTCGGCGCAAGGAAACAGAACACGTTCAGAGGCTATTCTTTTTTTTTTTTTGCGTCACGCCTCAAACAGGGGAAAGCTCCTTGTCTATCAGTTCCATGACTTCATATTTGCACTTCCACTGGAAAAAGTAGCACGCATACGCCGCCCCCACCGCGCATCCCGCAGCAACTACGCAACCGTACGTGTAGTCGTTATTTTTCGCGCTTTGCATCGCGGATTGGACCGGGGCCGCCGCCAAACCACTTACGCAGCCCGCCAGGAATACCAGAGACATCGAAAGGCCAAGGTTAGCTCCATGATAAATTTTGGTCAAAATCGCTGGATAAGTTGATAGCATACCAGAGACGGAGAACGCCAACACCATAACAGAAAAGGAGAGGGCAACGTACGCCGTGGAAAGCGCAAGAAGACAAAACCCGATTGCAGCAATGGCGGAACAGAAGCAAAAAACGGCCTCACCTCCGACGTGGGCGGAAACAAATCCACTTAAAATGGCCCCAGCAGTTTGAGCAATGCCAAACCAGGTCAACAAACGTCCAGCGGCATCGGAGTCAATACGAGCAAAGGCATGATAGACAGTTCCCTCCTTTCCCATAGTAAGCGCCAAGGGCACAGGAAGGTAAATGGCACTGGAGAAGCTGAAAAGATAAAAGATCTGGCAGAGAAATGACACCATCAACATTGGCGTGAAAATAAAGCGCACGATTTCTCTAGGACGCAAATGGGCATTGCGAAAGGTCCTTGTTTTTGAATCAGGGACTGCGGCCAAGGTATACTCAACTCCAGCGTCTGTGCCGACATTCAAGGATGGTTGTGATCTTTTTTCAACCAATACAGCACCAATAACGCCAGTTCCAACAAGTATTGTAAGAAAGCGAAACGTTGTGCGCCAACCATAGTGATTCAAGAAGGATTCAATATAAAGCGGAAAAATAAGGCTTCCACATCCACCTCCAGCAAAAACGAGACCAATAGCCGAGCTCTGGTGTTTGTCAAACCAGGAGGAAGTCGCTGCAATCACAGGGGTAATCATCATTCCTGCAGCAAAGGATAAGGGAAGGGCAAAAGAAAGTGCCACTCCAACGCCTGTTTTTGCCCACAAAGCACCTGCCAAAAGGCTCACATAGAGGGCAGCCATCGCGACCAAAAGCAGGATTCGTGGGTGAAAACGGTCGGATAAAAATCCACCTAAAAGACCAAACACAGGGGTAAGCCCCATAGCAATGGAATTACCTAGGCTTAACTCGGTCTGTGAGGGGTAAGCCAGAGTTGCATCATTCATCATACCGTCCAAAAACACCGTGAAGGAGTTCATGGTGCCAAAAATTGCAAAGTGCATTAAGAATGCCCCAAAAGTGACCAGCCACCCTATCGGGTGGTCCAGAGGTCTTTTTCCGTACATTACCAAAGTAAAAGCTTCAAAGGCGGGGGAAAAATAAAAACAGTTGTTTTTGAGCCTTCCTATGTGAGTCGCATCAGATGTTTTAATTTTTTAAATTATTTTTAGGAGATGTCCTTTACCCCACATAAGCAACAAAAATGAGAAAATGTTTTTTTTCGTAAATCTAATAATAAGGACATGAAGAGCAAGAAGAGGGCACAGTTGGACCCCTCAACAGACCATGTATGTTAAGACATATGATTTATCCGTTTTTTTTCCCCTCCCCTCTCTTTGAGGCGCTGCATTCGTCTTAAATTACTCTCGACTTCCAAAACTTACACGTTTGCCATTCACTTTTTAGCGGCAGCAAGGAAACGATTCCATAACTCATCATCATCGTTATTATTGCTACTCGTCTCCTTGATTCGAGGGGTTTTACTGGCGGCTTCGGACCTGGCTTTCTTTCTTTGTTCCTTCTGCTTTACAGCGTTCTGCTCGGACGTATACGTGGCAACTGTCGCATGAATATTGGGTTCTTTTTTATTTTTCTGAGTTTGTTTCGTACTAGAAGCGTCGACCTCAGAAACATCAGAACTGTGCTGCGATTCTGCTTCCTCATCTGTTTCCTCGTTGCGATCCATGGCACCATCCACTATGTTAAACGTGCCATAATGCTCAATTAACTTCATATGTTTTGCCTCTGGTTGCTCCAAGGCATCACGATAGTGCTTATTCGAGTCAAAGGGCGGAGCACTGAACCAGGGGATTCGTCCCCTCTGCCAGTCGTAGAGAACCATACGCGCCGCAGCTTCTGTATCGGGGTTTCCCCCAGTAACAAGTTTGCCCCTAAGCTTTGCCAGCTTTTCAAGAAAGTCATTCACATCACGCCATTCAGAAACACCGTAGGTAGCGACTATGTCTTTAGGTTTCACAATCTCAAGAACGGTGTGTACAACGTCAGTCTTGTCTGCATTTCCCAAGCGTTCTACACGCACAACACCTTTTAAAACGGCCTGAACGTCATTGTTTGTTTCACGATCATAAATAACACCTGGACAGTCAATCAGAAAAATAGTCCTCGTAAGAGCAACATACTGCCACACCTTCGTTTCTCCTGGAATGGGTGCCACCTTACAAACAGATTTTCGCCGGAGCGTGTTAATCAAAGAACTCTTACCCACGTTAGGGTAACCAATCACACCCACAGAAATAGGTGTCTTTGTTCGTTTACTACCCCGATGCGTAACGTTTTGCAATTTTGCAAATTGTCGAAGGAGCGAGATCAGACTACCCTTACCAAAGGGATGATTAACACTGGCATGAAATGCCACAGTTGGGTAGTCTTTGCTCAAAACTTGAAGCCATCGCGCGGTAGCCCATAAAGGGATAAGATCACACTTATTTAATACAAAAATAAAATGCTTGTATTTTTTTTCTTTACGCATGTATTCCTCAAGAAACGAACTTCGAGTCCCTAGTGGATCCCGGGCATCCAA